GCACACACACACACACACACACACACACACACACACATACGCGCGCGTACACGGACACACACATACACACACACACAGCGCGCACGCGCACTTAAACATCCCATTCCCCAAATATGTGTAACGAATCAAAGAAACCGAAAAAGAAAAACGAACAAACTACACAATGTACTTTTATCTTAATATCTTGATCACGAACTAACTGCCCTCGAACCACCATCCCAACACCCTACGTTCTAACAAGACTTAATTAACCGGTTAACCGGATTCAGGGGCTCGGTGTTTTGCCCAGCTGCTCTTCTCCCACTTTCTTTCCACCCGACCGACCGACCGACCGCCGAGCACTCAGCACCTCGATGACGAACAGCAATACGCAGTTAGGACGTCCAGTTGTAGTGTAGATATCCCAACTGACAGCATCACGCTCACTAATTCAGAGGACTGCTTGCTTGCTTGCTTGCTTGCTTGCTGCTAACTAGTGTGAGGTCTAGCCTAGATCTATCTATCTACTCTTGGCCCGAGCTTCGTGGGGCCGATTGGTTGAAGAACTTCTCTCTGATCGTGCTGCGCTCATCGGTGTTTGATTGATTGATTTGAGTGAGTATCGATGATATTTTGTTCTTTCGTTGTTTTTTTTAATCTCTCTTTTCTTTTGTCGCTTCGTTTGTTGCGGCATTTCAGTAAGGTAGTAACCAGGTAGTAACTTAGTATTGTTGTGTTGGCTGCAGTTTCGCCTGGAGACCTTTCTGGGTTTGTTCACCGATTTGTTTTATTGGACGTAGATTTTTTCCGTTCTCCCCGCCCCGTTCTTGCTGCCCGCTGCCCCCCCCCTCTCTCTCTCTCTCTCTCTCTCTCTCTCTCTCTCTCTCTCTCTCTCTCTCTCTCTCTCTTTCTTCCACCCGTTCTCCGACCTCCATTTCACTAGTACCGTTTAAACGTACATTGTATTTACGGTCTCTGGTGGTGTGGTGAGGTGGGCTGACTGCTGACCAGGAACAACCACACAAGCCACAAGTAGTAAAGTGTTGTATAATGTCGTGCATTGTCAGCTGGCCGAGTCAGCAGACGTGATCCAGTCCCATCCCCCGAGTTTGGTGGGCCCAGCCGGGCCCGCGCTTGACCTCGCTCGCTCCTCTTCTTCCGCTGAGCGGACACCCGTTTGTTGTCGAACCGGATAAAAATGAGTACTCAGTAAACCGGTTTTATAACGAAAGATTACAAAAAAAAATTGATACGGTTTTAATAAAAGTAGCACGTAGATTTTCAAGGTCCTTGCGAACAAGCGCGAAACAAGTAAACAAGAAAGGGAACGCTGTCTCCTTCATTAGCTGCAGACAGGAATTGGGTGTTTGGCGGGTGCTCTTGTGTGGTTTGCTCCTTCTTTCCTATCAAATGTCTAATCGTCCTGATCTCTTGTCTTTTTTATGTTCGCTGACCTCTAATTTTCAGCACTGTTATTACTTTATTGTTTTTGCAAGTGCCATAAAACTGTTACGGAAACTAAAAGCAGACAGAATGATCTTCCTGGTCGTCTCTGATTGACCCATGCGTCAAAATAGTTGGGAAGTCCTATAAGTCATAAGTCAGTCTGTGAACTGGTTTTGGTCGGTTCCTTTGATGACCTGAATCGTGGCGATGAGTGTGTATAGACGCGAACGTTAATTAAAAAGGAAGAGGAAATATTGGTCAGGAAATTGAAGTCGATTTATTTATGATCTGGCTTAAAGAAAGAGGGGTAATTTACTGAATTTTTGGTATTCTTAAAAAGTTCTGAGTTTTGAGGTGGTAAACATGAATCCCTTGTCACTGTAGCTACACCCTTTCTTTAATCTGCCCCCC